CCATCTCTTGTTTTGAGATCAATCAAAGGTTTAATCAGATTTTATGGTCATAAAAACACTTCTATGCTTCGAGTCAGGTTTATGCTGAGGTGACATGGGTTTAGAGATTTGAACAAGCCCTTAACTTTTTTTCTCCTGATGGACGAGGAAATAAGTTATAAATTAATATTGCGGATTTCTTTAACATACACTATTGTTCAAATGTTCTGGGTCAGTAGGATTTATTAAGAAATTTTTATTTTTATTTTTTAACTTTTTTTTTATATTATTACGAACAAGCCCTTAACTTTTTTTTCTCCTGATGGACGAGGAAATAAGTTATAAATTAATATTGCGGATTTCTTTAACATACACTATTGTTCAAATGTTCTGGGTCAGTAAGATTTATTAAGAAATTTTTATTTTTATTTTTTACTTTTTTTTAATATTATTACGAACAAGCCCTTAACTTTTTTTTCTCGTGATGGACGAGGAAATAAGTTATAAATTAATATTGCGGTTTTCTTTAACATATACTACTGTTCAAATGTTCTGGGTCAGTAAGATTTATTAATTTCTTTTTTTTATACTTTTTTTTTTTATGTTATTACTTTTATTTAAAATATTTCAAAATATTTTTGTTTTAAATAAATGCTGTTCTTTAGAATTTTGTATTCATCAAAGAATCCTGAAAAAAAAATTAATCATGGTTTAACTGACAATAATAAATGGTTCTTATAATCAGCATAATCAGAATGATTTCTGAAGATCATGTGACACTGAAGACTGGAGTAATGATGCTGAAAATTCAGCTTTGATCACAGCAATAAATTACAGTTTAAAATACATTCAGATATAAAAAAAAAAGTTATTTTAAATTGTAGTAATATTTCACAATATGACAGTTTCTACTGTATTTTTATCAAATAAAATGCAGCCTTGGTGAGCATTTTAAAAACATTTAAAAAACTTACCAACCCCAAACTTTTGAATGGTAGTCTATCTGATACCAAATTCAAATGTATTAATATCTTCAAAATATAAAGTTCATACTTTGCAGGTATTCCTTACGTAAAGCTGCCCTCTTAAAAAAAAAAAAATTTTTTTCTCCTGATGGACGAGGAAATAAGTTATAAATTAATATTGCGGATTTCTTTAACATACACTATTGTTCAAATGTTCTGGGTCAGTAAGATTTATTAAGAAATGTTTATTTTTATTTTTTTACTTTTTTTTTATATTATTACGAACAAGCCCTTAACTTTTTTTTCTCCTGATGGACGAGGAAATAAGTTATAAATTAATATTGCGGATTTCTTTAACATACACTATTGTTCAAATGTTCTGGGTCAGTAAGATTTATTAAGAAATGTTTATTTTTATTTTTTTACTTTTTTTTTATATTATTACGAACAAGCCCTTAACTTTTTTTTCTCCTGATGGACGAGGAAATAAGTTATAAATTAATATTGCGGATTTCTTTAACATACACTATTGTTCAAATGTTCTGGGTCAGTAAGATTTATTAAGAAATGTTTATTTTTATTTTTTTACTTTTTTTTTTATATTATTACGAACAAGCCCTTAACTTTTTTTTCTCCTGATGGACGAGGAAATAAGTTATAAATTAATATTGCGGATTTCTTTAACATACACTATTGTTCAAATGTTCTGGGTCAGTAAGATTTATTAAGAAATTTTTATTTTTATTTTTTTACTTTTTTTTTTATATTATTACAAACAAGCCCTTAACTTTTTTTTCTTGTGATGGATGAGGAAATAAGTTATCAATTAATATTGCGGTTTTCTTTAACATATACTACTGTTCAAATGTTCTGGGTCAGTAAGATTTATTAAGAAATTTTTATTTTTATTTTTTTACTTTTTTTTTTATATTATTACAAACAAGCCCTTAACTTTTTTTTCTTGTGATGGATGAGGAAATAAGTTATCAATTAATATTGCGGTTTTCTTTAACATATACTACTGTTCAAATGTTCTGGGTCAGTAAGATTTATTCATTTCTTTTTTTATACTTTTTTTTTATGTTATTACTTTTATTTCAAATATTTCAAAATATTTTTGTTTTAAATAAATGCTGTTCTTTTGAATTTTGTATTCATCAAAGAATCCTGAAAAAAAATTAATCATGGTTTAACTGACAATAATAAATGGTTCTTATAATCAGCATAATCAGAATGATTTCTGAAGATCATGTGACACTGAAGACTGGAGTAATGATGCTGAAAATTCAGCTTTGATCACAGCAATAAATTACAGTTTAAAATACATTCAGATATAAAAAAAAAGTTATTTTAAATTGTAGTAATATTTCACAATATGACAGTTTCTACTGTATTTTTATCAAATAAAATGCAGCCTTGGTGAGCATTTTAAAAACATTTAAAAAACTTACCAACCCCAAACTTTTGAATGGTAGTCTATCTGATACCAAATTCAAATGTATTAATATCTTCAAAATATAAAGTTCATACTTTGCAGGTATTCCTTACGTAAAGCTGCCCTCTTAAAAAAAAAAAAAGAATATATTTTTGTTTATCACTATTAAAAGCTGATCAAATGGCACTGTGTATTTGACTTAACTTTACTTGTCTTTACATAGTGTGTGAGTAACCAAACTCTGGCCAAATTTTTCCATTCTGTCTCCCGTTCTCTTCTTTCATGCCATCTCTTTCTCGCTCTGTTTACACACTCTCCTTATCTCTGCGTTGCTTCATGGCGCATGCAACCTCTACATAAAGCTACTTTCTTTTCAGCCGATCTGGAAAGAGAGAACGAGAGAGGTCAGACGTATTTCAGACTCCTCATTGGACAGACGGCTATTGAGCAAGACGTGTCCAAACATATTTCAGCCGTTAATGCGGCACAGATAAGCGAGTGTTTCTCAAACAGAACAATGAGGGGGTTTCATAGTACAGGGTTATAAAAGTCAGAATACACAAGCAGAGCTTTGCAGAAAACTGACAGCCTGTGATCATTTGTCTTTCATCTTGAGCTCTGGAGGACTTAGCAGGAGCCAAAGTGTCAGGACGATAAATTAACTCTTTGTCAGGCAATGTGGGAGAAAAGAGCAGGTTCTGTGACTCACGCAGGATGTCTGTGGAATCAGTGCGACACTTCACGAATGAAGCAATGATGGGAGATGAATAGTATGATTGTGATTTTCCCCCATTTGAATCCAATTTTATTATCATTTAATCAGTTTGAATAGTTTAAGTCTTATTTCTAAGCAAGTACGCCCGTGTTCTGTAGCCGTCAGGTTACAAAATAACATGAGCATGAACTTTTTATTGTTCATCATCAAAATGTATATATATGCTTATTTATCTCTCTGGGAAAGTTTAGTTTTTTAGGTGTTCAAGTTGTAACTTTCAGTTTCTTTTTTCACCGTTTTTGATCTTTCATTAAATTGTCTGGGCCTGAATGATAATACTGTTCGAAGGTTTGGGGTCATTAAGATTATTTAATTATTTTCAAAGAAAGAAACAAATCATTTTATTCAGCTAGGATACATTAAATTGATCAAATGTAACGGTAAAGATTCATAATATTACAAAAGATTCTATTTCAAATAAATGCTGTTCTTTTGAACTTTCGATTCATCAAATAATTCTGAAAAAAATATGTATCAGTTTCCACAAAAAGATATTTAACAGCATGAGTGTTTTCAACATTAATAATGTTTCTTGAGCAGCAAATCCATATATTAGAATGATTTCTGGAGGATCATGTGACACTGAAGACTGAAAATTCATCTTATGCATCACAGAAATAAATTACATTTTAAAATCAATTTAAATAGAAAACAGTTATTTTAATTTTTAATAATATTTCACAATATTACTGTTTTTACTGTATTTTTCATCAAATAAATGCAGCCTTGGTGAGTAGAAAAAGACTTATTTCAAAAACTTAAAAAAATAAATAATGACAATAATGTATATCTGTGGAATTTATTCCTATGTCATCCCTAATTTATCCCTATGTTTGGCCTAATCAGTATATTATAGGGCTAAAAATTTAGAACAGCCCATTTTTATAATAAAACATGTTTCAGATGACACAATGCTGGACAATTATATCAACTGTCCACATTGGGACCACAAGATTTTAAAAAAGTATTTGAATAACTCAATGTTACAGTAAATAAAGTACAGTAATGCCAAACTTTTGATACTGTCAGTATGTCATCTGATCCAGCATGCTGTGGTTCTGCTCAAAACATTGGCTATGGTGAGTCATTTCTGTCTTTTATCACGTTACGGTGATCTTCAGTGGTCTCCGCTAAAGCAGGAACATCTCATTCCTGTTCTCTTGACCCTGACATGACAGTCTGACTGTATTCTCACACATCAATGTCTCTGCTCACACCACACACAGTGCATCCGATGGAGCAAATTGGGAAATGGAACTTTAAGAATTGAAAGTTGCATTTTTTCAGTGTTGCTTTGTTAATATCCACCAGAGGGTGCTATTATAGAAGAGGAATGGTAATGGTTCTATATTTCCTGTGATTAATTGTTGTCTAATACCTTGTAGATATTATTTTTCAAAGTTGTAAATAAAAGATTATTGGAGTGTGTTTTACAAGAAAATCCTAATTCAGCTTCATGTTGTGCCTTTGTAATTGTAAAATTTACCAGAAAATTCTGAGTGAAATTTGTTTCTGCCTATTTTGCCTATTCTGAAATCTTTCTTCTGGTGAGTTCAGAATTATCCCTATTTGTTTCCACTAATGTCAAGTATCATTAGTGGTGTTTGCTATTGATCATACTTAAGGGTTAAATCCTTAACCCTATGTATAAATGTTCTGGCATGCAACATGTCCCTCAGCGTTTGTGTTATAGACATGAATGAAAAATTGTGCAACTTATTATGAAGAGTGACTGTGATTGGGCAAGCTCTACTCACATTTTCTTCAAAACATCCAGTTGTACAATGATATAGTTGTGTAATTGCTGCATTAACGCTCATGTGACTGTGGTCTGCTTGTTTTGAAGCTTTTGGAGATGTGCAGATCGGTGAAGGATGATGCGCTGAAGGTGGTCGATGACTTCAACATCCCGTCCTGCTGTATCCAGGCTCCAATCGGTGGAGTCGCCTGTCCCAGGACCGAATGGGCCTTCAATCCGCAGCCACAGTATCCCAGCAGCACCCAACCACAGTCTAAGCTCTGAAAGAGAGAATGAACATGGCTTTATGAGGATGTGGAAGAACGATGGAGTGATGTCAGGTTGCTGGATGTTCTTTCACATTGGGTCGGAGTGATGAGGGACTAATTGGAGGTGGTCAATGCACTTACGGATGCATAGTTGATGTTTTATGATTAAGCATCATGCGTTGTGCCAATATGAATGGTAGAACTTGCAGCTAATGGGCAATGCCTTAAAACATTATATACACTATAGGCATGACACTACTTTTTCTTGTTCACTCTTAAAAATAAAGTTTCCAAAGGGACGGCAACAATGCCACAGAAGAACCATTTTGAGTTCCACAAAGAACCTTTCGGTGAAGGTTCTTTAAAGAACCTTTTGCTGGAGTAAAAAACATCTAAAGAACCTTATTTATAAAACGGATAGTTCCGGTCCTTGATTCTGATTGGTTGAGCCAAGTTCGAAGCTGTTGTAAATTACTCTACAAACATATACCTTTGTTTACATTTGTGTGTTGCTCGGCAAATACTTTGTTGGAACCACAAATGTTTCTGAGGAACTACATTGTTTGGTGCAAGAATAATGTTTTTATTCATATCATTACACTTTATTTGCTCTGTTTTATTTTGTGAAACCTTACTACGTATATGGAATAACCGTTTTATAAAAGCAATAAGCCCCGTGAAGCCGTGGTTTACAGTGAATTTATAACAGCTAATGGGGTTCGCATCGTGCCTAACAACGCCCCTGTTATAAATTCACTGTAAACCACGGCTTCACTGGGCTTATTGCTTTATTAACATTCAAAGAACGTTTTGTCCAATAATGTTCCATGGATGTTAAAGATTCTTCATGGAAGCAAAGATGCCAATAAAGAACCTTTCATTGAACATTTTTTTTAAAGAACTATTTTTCCTAAGTGTGAAAAACATCTAAAGAACCTTATTACACTATAAAGAACCTTTTGTCCAATGGAAAAGTTCAATGGATGTTAAGAGCTCTTCAGTGCCAATTAAGAACCTTTATTTTTAAGAGTGTGTGAAGAAGGGAATTTCAGTTATACGAGTTGCACATTATGTCTATCATACACTTCTATTTTTTCCCCCTTAAATTCTTCAGTGATTTTAGCTGAAACGATTTCAAATAAACACCAGCCAAAACTCTCCAAACACACTAAACATCTTGCACTTACAGAGGTAACAGCTGTAACAGCATAAAGAAGTGCCAAGATAAAGATAAAGCCCAAATAAAATTAGTCATCACATGACACACAGATATTGAATATTTATGCAACTGCACATACATTGAGTATCAGTAACCACAATAATAATTTATTACTGCTGCTATAGTTTTTTAATGCCATTATCAACTGCCATACATTTACCTTTATTTACCATTTGAGCCAGATAAAGTTAAACAATTTAGGTATGATCTGGTCTGGGTCTTCAAAGGGATGTCCATTTATGCTTTTGTCATACACTAAGTTTGGACCAAACTACTAATTAACTTGAAATTCAAGTTTTCTTGAAAAATGTCCTTATCTGTTTTAATAGTTTTTTTTTTCCAGTTTGTTAATTTCTTACTAAAGTCTGCCTAACACAGCAATTCTGAAATATTCTGCAAATAAATTGCTGCATTCCCTGATATTTCCAGGTTTTCTGCACTTGTCAATGTAAACTAAGGGAAGACTGGATATTCACTGGCTATTTAGTTATTTTCCTAATTGTCTTTGTGTTGTCCTATTATGCCACAAACAGGGGATAATTTAATTAATAACAGAATAAAATGTGTACCAAATACTTAGTTTGGCAATTGTAAACCTGGTTTGTTTTGCATGCAGCATTGTTTCAAAATGCTCATGATTCACTTGTGACTTGTGATCAAACATTATTCAACGTGAAATATATACCACAGAAGAGACTAGCCTGTGCAAAAGAAGAACTATAGTGCTTTTGTTCTAGTTTAATCTAAAGTGTTTGTGTACATTTAGAGCCTGATGGTGTGGTTTGAGAAGATCCCAGCCCTGTGGGTTTGGCCATCACAAGCCCATCCCATGTGGGCGTGGCTTCTCCGCTTCACTGTGAGGGTTCACTTGAGTAAATAGACAGCAGAACAACTTGCTCTCTCTGCGTAGCAGACGCAAGAGAGTGAGCCTCGGCGAGGAAGTGCACTTAAGAAGACACCGAGACAAAAGAGACCATTCAAAACAATCCTGTGGACAGTTTTCACACAGGATCGTATATGAAGGCTGCTCCAAGGGAAACAAATACATCGAGAGATTTAGAGCCATCGATTGCCTGCTATTGGAATTGTGCTGTATTATTTCCACTTTTTTACAGCACTTTTTTTTTTTAATCTCTGGATATTTCGAAATTTACTCTTCGTTTTCATTTTGTTGTCTATCGCTAAGATGATGCGTTAACGCGTTTTTGCCGCAGCGGATATGTCTGACACGTCCAGGTGAGTTCATACGCGCGTATCGTACAGTATGCCGGCTTTCTTTAGGACAACTCTTTTGTTTGCACTTTTTATTTTTTGCACTTTTTATTGTCTTTCAGAAAGGATTGCATGTTAATAATGTACGCGTTTTAACATTTGATCGGCGTGATTTAAAACCCATTAAGCTGTTTAGTAAAATCGGGTTATTCATTTGTTTATTTGTCAAGATCACCTTGCATTATTTTTCGTGTTGATATTTTATTCTAGCGAAGCATAACGCGCAAAAAAAAACAAAGTTGCGAGCGGCGGCGAGGGGGAAAAAAGTCGCTTTACGTAGCGTCCAGCCAAACAATGTCGCAAAGACAACAAAAGTTGAGATGTAGTAGAGGAGTCCACTCCCCTCAGTGGCCCGTACGTGTTGACATTTAACCAGAGTGAATAATTTAACTGTTTTGCAATGGGTAACGACTGGCACCTGTTTGCTTTGTTTTCTTTTCCGTTATCCACTGAAAAATAAGTCAAAGTACGATGAAAACCTGCGGTTGTTGTTGAAGTTCTACAGATGTACGCCAGGCGATACTCTACCAACGTGTGTAAAAGACCTATTTATTCGCGCTTTACTTTCGAAATGAGACTCGAACTGTTCCCGGCTGGAAACAATGGCGATTTGGAACGTGCCGTGCGATACGTATTTTTTTATTATTATTGTTTGTTTATTTATTTTTAACGATCGTCAAATCTATCGGTCTGTTGTTAGACCGATACTCGCGTTACTTTGCGCTACTGTCTGTTTGTCTGAGCACTTGGAGGCGTCGACGCGCTCCTTTTAATAGGAAACTTTGTTTTGGTGCGCATGTTATTGTTTCGCCGCCGCTCTCTCGTTGAAAATAAATCGCTATAAAACTCGCTCAGTACCGATGGCTGACAGTAGAATATTGAGCACAAGTGAAATTAAAGAAAGAAATAAAGGCGTCGCGTCAAACTCCCCGCTCGTACAGTACAGTATTCATTAGCTACTGTCAGTAAAATGCTGACAAGTGATACTGAAGCAAGATATAAAGAAAGCAACTGCGATCCAGTCGCAGCTTGGGCTCCTACGGACTATAAAGTAGCCTACTTATTAGTAGTGACTAACAAGTGCACGGGCAACAAATACAGCGGTAAGTGATACTACAACAGCATGACGCAGTTTGTTTTATTTTTATTTTAGCTTGTAATTATTTTGTGTTTTATTTCTGTATTTGCCGCTGTTTTGTCATGGTTGCTCCGCGGTTTGTGCAAACCGGCATGACTGACGAAGCTGCACTGGTTTACGGAGAACTGCGAGATGTGTTTATATTTTAAAAAGCGCGACATAATAAACCTGTCTAGACCAGGACTATTAAACAAAGTCGACGTCGTGTAGATTCCGCTACAGCGCGATCTCGAAGTGCCGTGCGGTATTCGACGCGACGCCTTCGCGCGTTCTTCAGTTTTATCCCAAAATGTAGTGTTTTGCTGTAAGGAAGAAATAGGAAGTTGAAGTGGAGCTCGTTTGTGACGCACTTCGCCGGTTGTAGCGTTGTACTTTTTCATAGCTAATCGCCACGAAATAGACTGGAAATTCAAAACCCCCTGCCAACCACCCACACAATTCCTCTTCGAATCGCCTGCAAAAGATAGTAATGAGTGTTTTGTTTGTTCTGCAGAGAGCAAACGCTGGCCAATGGCCCGGCCTCGCGGGGAAGCGGAGAGAGCGCCGGTGGCGGAGCTGTCTTGCGCTCCGGGCACTTTGACTTCCCTCAGCCGAGCGATGGGGACCCGTTAAGGGGAGGGATTGCCATGTCAAATAGTCACCAGTCGAGGTCACCGATGTCCCGAACCTTCTCCAGGTCCTCTAGTGGCTATTTTTCCGTCGACAGCGATTCTATGCCAAGTTCCCCGCTAATGCCCAATATTTCCGAAGCGCAAGACGGCCAAAATGATGGTAAGAGAGCCCCCTGGAGAAAAAAAGGCTCTATTTTGTGGTGTGTAAACACGACACTGACGCGACGAACAGCGAGGCATCATAACGGTTTTCTTTCAGTGGATTAGTCCGTTAAGAATTGGATCATTTCAAATTTGAAGCCGGCTGCGGATTTCCCGCCATTGTGTGACTGAGCTTTGAATCACACGCGCGCTCTTCTATGTTTTGACGAAATTAATCATTTATAATGATTGATTTTTGGATCATTTTATGGCGATTAAAGTAAATGATTCGTTAAATTGTGAAATTTTGAATGCTATCTAAAACGAGGCTTTATTCCCAAGGTCAAGGGGCAATTTGGTTTTGGGCCCCTGGGGGTCAGTGGACAGATATATAAAACATAGATTTTCTTTAAAAAAAATTATATTAGTGAAAATGTAATACATTAGTTATATGGTAAACATGCTAATCAAACACATTAGAAAATGTTGCCAAAGAAAATCTAGCCATTTTTTATATAGAGGAGGGGGTTCCTTGGGTCTGTGAAGTAAAGTAAAATAAAATAGACAGTCCAAATAGACAATGACAGATTGTACAGGTGAAATAAAGGTGCATAAAAATATTAATACAGTCACATCTGACTGTTTATGAATGTCATCCCTATAAGTGCTTTGGATGTTTAACTTGGCTCTCAGTTTTCCACATTAGCGCAGTGATAAGCATAATGTTTTGATGCTTGGCAGTGCACTTGTCTCGAGAATCTCTTCCAGAAAGCATGTTCTTCTCATTTAGAAGCAGCACAGATCTGCCTAAAGCGAAGTCGACTCATTCGTCTTTGTGAAAGCTGCTCTGAAAGAAGTAACCTGCATTTCCTCTGTTAACATCAGACTGTTCACTGCATTATGTATTCTGAAGCATGCGCTTGCACGTACACGAGCCTTCAGCTTGGTTCAGTCACAATATCTTGAAACCCGGTGCACCTGAGACGCATGACCACAGCGTGTGACCCATCTTCTCATAATGCCTCAGATGGAGTTGGCTGATTTGCCTGTTGTCTTCTTGTTTACCTTCACAGTCACCGAGGCCTCAAGAAAGCAGTCAGAGAATTGGCCTTAGTGCACGCAGCCAAAATAGACTAGCCTGTCTTTTGTGAAGGCTAGACACGAGATCCAACCATCTCTGTTTTCCCTATTGAGAGCCTGGAGATGTGAGATGGCGATAATTGTCTTCCTGTAGCCACTCTTAATGGCGAAGAGAAACAACAATAACTTATCAGGGCTCTCATCTGTTGCTCGCTCGACAGGAGAGTTCCTCTACCAGTGGCCTCTTGTTTATACCTCTAGCTGCTGCATTGTGCTGGCACAAGGTCTTGAATTTACACGAATGAACTCTGCCCTTTTTGAGCACCTCTTGTGGGTCAGACGTCTTATTCTGTCCAAAGATAAATGAAGATGAAGAGAGTTACGGTGTAGTAAAGGCCCGAGAGAATGAGGTGAAAGTGTTGACTAAAACTTTGAGTGATATTTGAGATATTGTCTGGTTCAGTTCATATAGGTCTAGCGGAGTTGTGAAAGGAAATGAGTATCCAATGGTCCTAATATGATTGAGCATGAGAAATAACAGTCAAACAGCTTCTCGCTTGAGTCATAGCGCGAGATCAATTTGAGTTCAGACAGAATTTGGGTGATATTAGCGTACCGCCTCATAACCTCAGCTATCGTTCAGCTACTGTCTTACAACCGACAACGTGTAATTTTAGCACTGTTAGCAAATACTTAATCATGATAATGGCTGTGGAAAAACCAAACCAGAGGTTGCAGAGGTGGTTGTTTGCACCAGACGATGGCATGCGATATACAGGAGTAGAAGTTTGTTAGAAAAGTTGCAAACAGTGTCAAACAGTGTTTCTTTTTTTCATGAAATTAAGCTTATTTGGATTCTTAATCCTGGCTTTCAGCGTGACCGTATGAAGACAGCGTTAACTCTGGTTCTTGAAAGAAGAAAAAACAGTAGAGGGATGAATTGAAATAAGAAATGTCTTGATTTGTAGTTGTTTTACTGCTTGTTTAAAGTCCATCCTCAAGTGTCTAAATATGACGCGGCCCGCTATTCTTAATCCTGGCCTTCACAATTCAACTGTGCACAAAAACTTGTTTTCATAATCTTTAGCCAAAATGTAATAACTTTAAACTGATATTTTCAGATGATGTCACAAATGATTCCTATTGCATGATTGCAAATAACTTTTCAAATAAAAAATAAAACAGATTTATCTGTGATAGGCTCACTTTTATTTTGGACTTTTATTTTATTTTTTTAAGATAAAAGGGACATTACAATATATATATAAATACATTTTTTTATTATTATTATTATTTTTATTTAATTTTTTTCATTTTTAAATCACCTAATATTAGTATTATATATTTTTTAAATGTGTCCACCGTAAAAAAATATTTTTCAAAGTTGTAAATGATTGGAAGGATTATTGCAATGCATTTTACAAATATATAAATATACTGTATATATATACTGATATACAATAATTAGAAAATCTGGAATCTGAGGGTGCAACAAAATCAAAATATTGAGAAAATCGCCTTTAAAGTTGTCTAAATGAAGTTCTTAGCAATGCATATTACTAATCAAAAATTAAGTTTTGATATATTTACGGTAGGAAATTTACAAAATATCTTCATGCAACATGATCTTTACTTAATATCCTAATGATTTTTGGCATAAAAGAAAAATCGATAATTTTGACCCATACAATGTATTGCGGTCTATTGCTACAAATATACCTGTGCTACTTATGAATGCTTTTGTGCTCCAGGGTCACATATTATGAATTATGTTTAAATTCAGTGTATTTGTTATTAATTGTGCTATTGAATAGCAATTTTACTAGCAAATGAAAATTGTTTCTACACTACTCTAGTGTTTTGTACTGCAAAATAAGTTTTTTAGTGTTCTGTATTGCAAATAAGTTTTCAATTAAAAAATAAATCAGATTCATCTTTGATAGACCTACCTTTACTTTGAACATTGTCATTTCGTTAGTATTTTTAATGTTTGAATCACCTTTAAATAAAAAATATATATATTTTGTGATACAAAATATTTTTTGCTCATATTGCTCATCCCTATCATTTGAGGTTTGAATGTCTTAAAATTGAATTCCCTTGTCTTTCGCAGAGGTATGGTCTGCCGAACCTAGCCACCAGCACGTGCAGATGGCAGCACCTGTCGGAGCCATGGGGCCGGAGATGGCGGTCGCTCGGGAGCTGCGGCGCATTGGAGACGAGTTCAACCGTCTGTACTGTCAGGGGGTGAGTAATATTGAGGTGACACCATAGGATCAAGCGCAGGAGATTGATGATGAAATATTTTCACTCGCTAGAGCAACGACTTTCTTTGTTTGTCCAGGGGAGCTGGTTTGAATTTGCGTTTGGAAGCCTCCCCCTCTCATATCTTTATGAGTTTAAATCAGGTGTTGCAGAGAGGAGTGCGCATACGAAAGTGGCATCGCAAGTCTCTGCAGATCAGGGCCTTAATGAGGGAAATGTTTACTCTGTCTCTGTAAAGGGAGCTTTATTTTCATAACTTGTATTTCTTAATGTTGCATCACTTCAGCAGCAGTCAAGAAATCAAGGTTCTTCATAAAGAATCAAGGCTGATATGGTGTTCACACTTTCGTCTTTCATCATCTCATTCTCCATTACTAGATTATACAATCATCAGTAACCGTTAATTAAAGGGTTAGTTCACCCAAAAATGAAAATTCTGTCATTAATTACTCACCCTCGTTTTGTTCGAAACCCGTAAGCCCTTCGTTCATCTTCGGAACACAATTTAAAGATATTTTTGATGAAATCTGAGGGCTCTCTGACCCTCCCATAGACAGCAAGGTAACTACCACGTTCAAGCTCCAGAAAAGTACCAAGATGATCGAAAAAGTAGTCCGTGTGACATCAGTGGTTCAACTGTAAAATGACGTCATCACGCCGGATCTGGGTCAGCGCCGCCACACGCTCATGTCATGATACTGTCGTGAACGCGTGTCCACAAGTGACGCAGTAGAGACGAAAATATGGAATAAAGTGTTATTTTTGTTTTCTTTGTGCAAAAAAGTATTCTTGTAGCTTCGTAACTTTACAGTTGAACCATTGATGTCACACGGACTACTTTGTCGATCATCTTGGTACTTTTCTGGACCTTGAACGTGGTAGTTACCTTGCTGTCTATGGGAGGGTCAGAGAGCCCTCCGATTTCATCAAAAATATCTTAAATTGTGTTCCGAAGATGAATGAAGGTCTTACGGGTTTTGAACAACACGAGGGTGAGTAATTAATGACAGAATTTTTGGTTGAACTAACCCTTTAAGGGATTTATGATCCCTCTTTGGAGTCTCACTTTTTATTTGTATTTTATTAGAAAAAATTATCCAGTAGTAATATGGAGTAATATAAAAATTAGCACCACTATATATGAACTTAATCAAATCAGTATCAGGTATTCTGCTTAATATTCATACTGCAATTACCATGCATCAATCAGCAATTATTACATTAGATAATATAGATATGACGTAGTTAGATTAATGTCCAGGGCTGTATGACTCAAGTTATATGACTCAAATATAGCCATGCTAGTACAGTATGTCCACCTTTGGTTATCTAGATGAACATGCAAACTTGTTTTCACTGTATGGTGATGCTGCTGGCTCTGATAAGATTCTGTTATTGTATTGGTTAAATCTGAGATAATTAATACCTCCGTTGAAGAATTATTGCCTTTCACCTCTTGGACTCCAGTACTGTGTCATGCTTCCTGTTTGGGCAGCTGTCCAGTTGGACACAGTTCTGTCTGGTAGTATTTGTGTTTATTATGTTGTGTCAGGCCTTACGCCCTCGACTTAGCTTGTTATAGATTTGGAAACTAGCGAATGTTGCTTCTTTGAGGATTTCAAGTTGAACAGCTTCTCGTAGCCGCTCTCTGTAGGAGTGTAAACAGACAGAGTTTTGATTGAGGTCGTCTCTGTGAGCTCCGCATGCAAATAGAGCCTTATCTACTCCGGCTATCGTTGTCTGGTTATTGCTGCGTAAAATTACCTTAGTCATTGTTTAAGTGAGTAAGGCCTGCAAACCTCTTGAAAGATATACCTGTAGGCAAGAGCCCAGACGTGCTCATAAACAGCTCAACGGTATATTTATTAGTGGTGCTTGTTAAGGCAACAGTTACGATTTATTGCTCATACTTGGGGTTAAGTGTGTGAACAAAAGTCTGACATTATGTTTTAAGCTTTTTTCATAAATTTCCATCTTCTTACATACATTTACACCATTTTTTTCATACACTACCCATTCAGAAGTTGGGTAAGATTTTTTAAAAATGTTTTTGAAAAGTGCTCACCAAGGTTGCATTTATTTGATCAAAATACTTAAATATATTTTTACAATTTAAAATAGCTGTTTAATAGCTGAATTTTCAGCATCACTACTTCAGTCTTCATTGTCACATGATCCTTCAGAAATCATTCTAATATGCTGGTTTGCTCCTCAATAAACATTTATTATTAATATTGAAAACAGTTGTGCCGATTAATATTTGAAAAATAAAATCTTACTGTCCCGAAACCTGTGAATGCTAGTGTAAATAGGATTTGTTCTTCATTTGATTGTTAAGCTATGTCTCATACTTCACTCTGCCTGTGGCAATTTTTTTTGTTTTCAAAGTTTTTTTTCACTTAAAATAATATCCTTCCAGAACAATCACATGTCTTCAGAGAGATATGCTCTTATAGAATGCTGCATGACGCATTTACTGTAAACAAGTGCACTTGATTCATCAGTGATTCATTGTTGCTGGACGTGTCATGTTTGGCTGATTCTCCAGACACACCCTGTAGTCTACTCAGAGGGCATGTTCAGGTTTAGGACCCCAGAAGGCCATTTTTAAAGCAAAAAATGAGCTTTTAGGCTGGAAAAGTTTTTTTGCACCAAGTAAAGATTTTGAGAAAATAGCTAGATAGATTATAATGAATGAAGGGGCATGAGAAAACTGCTGTTGAACAGGCCTGAGTGTTTTACTTGACTTTTTCACAATACTTTTAAGCTTCCTTGTATATCCAGGTCAGAATTGTGAGAAAAAAAGTCAGAATGGTGATATAAGAAGCCATTTTTTATTTCATGGCAGAAACAAACAAACAGAATTGCCATATGAAAGCTCAGAATTCAGAGAAAAAAGTCTGAATTTTGGGATGTAAACTCAGAATTCTAAGGAAAGAAGTAAGAATTTAGGGATGTAAACTCAATTCTAAGGAAAGAAGTTAGAACTGCGAAACGTAAATTCTGAATTCTAAGGGAAAAAGTCAGAACTGTGGGAAACTCAGAATTCTGAGGAGAGAAGTTAGAACTCTGAGTTTATATGTATTTTAATGTTTATTTTGTTTTATTCTAAAGCACGGCTGGTGTATAATTTTGGTCATTTTACATGTTGAAAGAATGCAAAACTCAAAACTCATCTTGAAGCACAGTTAAGAGAGGATGCCAAGTCCATTCGAATGTTATATCCATTTAATGAATCACAATGAGCAGCCCTAACATTACAGGAGTGTGTGCGTGACAACAGCCTCGTACAGCGTCTGCCGTGTTTCAGAAGACTCAGGAGGAGCAGAATTCATCCCAACCCCCCCAAACTGCCCACTTCTCTTAAAGACTCAGACTAATAGCCCTGGTGGAGTTTCTAATAGGCTGAGGAGTCATCTGAAGAGAGAGAGTGAATCACAACAAGCAGTCCTAACATTACAGGAGCTTGTGCGTGACAACAGCCTCGTACAGCGTCTGCTGTTTCAGAAGACTCAGGAGGAGCAGAATTCATTCCAACCCCCCTAAACCACCCTCTTCTGTTAAAGTCTCAGACTAATAGCCCTGGTGGAGCCCTAATAGGCCGAGGGGTCATCTGAAAAGAGAGAGAGAGAGGAAAAAAAGAGGGAGGGTTGCATGGCAGAGCTGTATGCGTCTGGGACGGCTCAGCTTCATTATGTTTACCCTGCGGTTAGGCTCTGGGCTCTAATTATGCAGCGGGTCAGTCTCCTCAGCGCCATAGAGACGCACTCGGGCCTAGCGAGAGCCGCTCACTGTCAGGGTCAGAGAGGAAACGGCCTGCCAGCACTCCAAATGGATGGGTTGGACTCCACGCTTTTGTTTGTTTCTCTTCTCACGTATCTGTGATGTAACTTCGGGAGTTTGTTTGAGGTTTTGATGCTCCTGTGTGTGTGTGTGTGTGTGTGTGTGTGGTTGTGTTTGTTTGTTTAGATCATGTTTGTTTGACCTCAATACAGTACATTTTGGAATAACCGATTGGAAAAACTGTCAATGAATTGAAGTACTTCCACATTTGAAATGTCGGATTAAACAAAAATCCTGAAAATTCCATTTGAAAAAAATCTATTAAACATCATGACTTTCATGATAAATGGAATAAAATATGAATGGTTGTAGCTTCTATGCTGCTATGTGGTTGCTAGGGTATTCCAAGTGGTTGCTAGGTTGTTACTAATTGGTTGACAGAAAGTAGCGATTAAACTACGATGTAGACCAGTGGTTCTCAACCTTCAGGGGTTTGTTTTGGGTTTTGATGCTCCTGTGCGTGTTTGGATATTTAGTCCACAATTGGTTGACGTATATATTTTGATTTTTGGAATAACTGATTGGGAAAAATTGTCAATGAAATGAAGTATTTCCACATTTGAAATGTTGTACTTAAAGCTGGTGTCCATAACTTTTGGTGTAGTGGTTAATAAATAGAACTGCGTGCGTCTTGCGGAAGAACATTGTAGCTGGAGCTACTTCTCTCTGTTTATGTCTATGGCGAATCACGCAGGTACTGGGCTACTCCGCAGCGGTACCTACCCGAACCGGTCTAAAATAGTCTGAATATAAACACTTATTATAGGTGTACCGTAGTGATTCAGGACAAGCCAAAAACACTGTTTGGAAAATGGATTCATGTTGTACTCGCTTATTATATACATTTTGTACATTTTGAAAACAAAAAAAAGTAGCTTTAACAAAAATCCAGAAAATGTCACAATTTCATTAAACATTTGACTTTATGAAAACATGCTATCTTGTCTGTGTAAAGCTCATTTCAGAGCACTGCTATGTGGTTGCTAGAGTATTGAAAATGGTTTCTAGGGTGTTGCTAAGTGGTTTATAGTGTTTAACTTAAAGGGATAGTTCACCCAAAAATGAAAATGTAATGTTTATCTGCTTCCCCCCAGGGCATCCAAGATGTAGGTGACTTTGTTTCTTCAGTAGAACACAAA